ACTCTGCTTGCTACTGGCTGGCGTCAGTAGTTATCGAATAAGTTACCAATTTGCAGCAACTTTGCTGCGAGTCAATTAACGAATGCAAATAACAAATAAATCATCAATTGCATTTGTAAGACTGATTAATTACCTTGAGTTATATTGATCTCCGGCGGCGTCGTGAAGGAATGCATGAATGTCAACACGAGTTTGCTTTAATCTTCAACGCGGCGTGGCCAACGAACCTTTGAGCGCCGGCGCTGGTTAATTGCGCTTATTGCCAAAAGCCGCGACGGTTTACGCGCGTTTAACTTTGATTTATCGGTTTACACCTCGTTGCCACCTCGACGAGGAGGTATTTAAGGTGTGAGTGGCGGGAATGTCAGGCATGCTTCTTGTTCGTATTATTTGCGAATAATTGGAATAGTCTTGTTTTCGGTCATAAATTAAACTAAAATATGAAATTCTTGATGTTGAGTGTTTGGGGGAGTTACTATTGAGTTGTTGAGCAACTCAGATCCAACTTTGTTTCAATTTTGAAACTATAATTATGATTTTATTGTTTTACTCACATTTATCGCTAATTTTCACTTTTTTAATTTAATTTTTGCATCAAAAAGCTGTTTATATTCTATTCTGGTGTATTAACTATAATATTTCAAAGTTTTATCAAATTTACTCCACGGGTTTTTGTGTTATCACGGCACAAACATACATTAATCCACCCAAACTCTCAAATTTTCAATATATGCTTATATACTTACAATATACCAACATACATACTGAATTATTATTGATTGTATAATTCGTGTCAAAGTTTACCACAATCACAGCCCCTTGCAACGGAAAAACTTTTCACCCCCAACGCAAACATTAAGTATTAAGAGGTGTTAAGTGCTCTCGACTTTTTTAGGGTTCTTTTCCGTAAACTTTCACCGCTAGAACGTGAATGAAGTGTTTAGAAAACTCGAATTAAACGCCTCGAATTATATCGCTTGATAAAATAATATTGCACGTTTAATCAAATGAATTAAATCATTGGGCTGTAAATTACATAAATTAACATTATCAATAAATATCAAATTACACGCTGCGTATGTTTATAACAAGCTACGAAATTGTTGCTAAATTTATGGCCCGCATACATTATTCATTTATCTGAATCACGTTTTGCACTTTATTTAACCCGGCGTTTAGCGAAGGTGTAGCGCCAAATGCCAGAGATAACCAACCGCGCCAACCTTTCCGCCCCGAAAGCACCCCAGTGCAACAACAACAAAACAATTTTATTGCGTATTATCTACATTTATCGAACACTTATCTCTGCGATAATTACGCCCCGTCATTAATAACCTCGCGGGGGTGCGACTGTGCGATACACAAGTGCTTTGGCCCATATTCGAGTGTTGGACATGTGTGTAGGAGACTTTTATTGGCTTGGGACGTGTTTGAGGATAGAGATAATAAACGGTAATAAACAGGAATATTTGTTAATGTTACGGGTGAGGTGGATGTAAAGATTACGTTAAAATAAATTTAAACCTTTATGGATTATTATAGAAATATTAAAATTTTTGGTAATTATAACTTTCATCCCCTATTTTACACCCTTTAAATTTATTTATCGGGATAAAAAGTAGTCTATGTTTTATTTTAATATATAAACTATACTATTACAAATTTTCATTAAAATTTCTCCAATAGTTTTTGTGTTATTGAGATTCAAACATACATTAATCCATTTAAACTCTTCTATTTCTAATATTAGTACAGATGAAACTCGCTAAATGTTGCCGCTTCATTGCAATTCCCACCGCAACCCAGCTCTGCTGATAAACAAAATGACATGCTCACATTTGATGTCATCAGCAATGAATATGGTAATAAAGACGCCCAAAAGTGGCATTGCGCAGTACACAATGAAGCCACCACCCACGCATAAAGGTAATGAAAAAAAGCGAAAAGGTTTAACCTGCGAAACGACTCCCGACGGTGGTGGCCTGCGGGAGAAATTTAAAACAATGAAACGCAAAACGTTAAACCGTTGCCATTTTTTAACACCCGCCGGCTATTAAATTCGTCAAAACGACACACTCGAAGCGGGGAAATTAAATGGAAAATAGAAAATTGTTTGGGGGGTGGTGGTGGTGGTGGCGAATGGAAAATGGTAAATTAAATGGCCGTCGTAAAAGTTTATGCCCCGAACATCAATAATAATATTACCTTTATATCCAGCCCGGGCTGCGACGGCGAAGAAGGATATGTAGGAGATGTAAGGAGTAAGGAAAGAGGTAGCACTTGAATGCGTTTCTCAGGCTCTCGGGCGGGCTGCTTGGACGTGGACTTTCCGCCTAGATCCCTTAAGCGGTTAAGCGGTTAATATCCTATTACTGTTTGAAGTGACTGGGCAGATGGGACGACTGCGTTTTTGGATAAATATTCGGCTCATCTTTTCAGATATTGTTATGAGGTCAATTTCAATTCGTCTCTTTGACTTTCAAATAAAGCGCGCGGAAAGTCGAGGAAGAAGTTTTTAGTTAAAGAGAATCACTGTCGGATTAATTTAATAGTGAAATCTGCAATCGTTTTGGATTTAACAACCACTTTGGGGTTTCTTTTTTATATGGCTGCCTGTGGCTTGCGGGGAATTAATGTGGCGGAATAAATCTTGTTATTTTATTATCGTTTACAAGTGGCTTACATAATGCGCAACCATAAAACGAGATGATTATGAAACAATTATATTTGACAGCTCAAAATGTACGGTTTTTTAAATAAGAGTTGTGGAGTTTTGGGAATTTCGTGAAATTTGATTAAGGAATCATTTTTTCGATGATTTTCGATAGCGAATATCTTCTAAGATAAAAGGGATAGCGATCAGCGGTTTAAAGATAATGAAAGATTTGTACGGTGCTTTGAATGGGAGTCACTTCTACCGCTAGCCTCGTAAGGGGTACCCTGAATCAAGTCCCTTCTACCGCTAGCCTCGTACGGTGCTTTGAATTAAGTCACTTCTACCGCTACCCTGGTACGGTACCCTGAACACGAGTCACTTCTACCGCTACCTTCGTACGGTGCCCTGAACACGAGTCACTTTTACCGCTAGCCTCGTACGGTGCCCTGAATCAAGTCACTTCTATCGCTAGCCTCGTACGGTGCCTCGAATCGAGTCACTTCTACCGCTAACTACGCTATCATTTATTTCGAGAATTTTTAATAGCAAATATCTTCTAAACTAAGTGATAGTAACTAAGGAAAATTATCTATTAGGAAGAAATATAAAATATATAAATTTCTCTATGTAAAGGGTTTAAAAATGCGACTAAAAGTGGCAAAAATTAAATTGAATATTTCTATAAAAAGAAAATACCAGTATTTGGAGATAAAATTCTTAGTTTATCATAATTATCATAATGGATCCGCACATTGCGGAATCAATTTGAACAGATTTTAATCTTTAATTCATGATTTTCTGCTCTTTTACTCTTTTGATATCGAATAATTCTTTTTTCTTGCGTTTTCTCGCGCAGATTTAGTGGAAGAAAATGTAAATGTCGCGCGCGCCTGCATCGAAATGATACCACATACCTTTATGCCATTAACGGCGGCGCACATTTACAGCCACTCATCATCTTCCCCTCCAGTGACGATTCCTCGCCCGCGTCTCCCAGAAGAAACAAAGCGTGCGTTTATGTTGATCAGCGCTCGTTTCATTTCGTAAACAATATCTGTGCGCGCTTATCATGCGGCAGAAAGGTGCTCTCGAGTGCGAAATGGGCGCAAAAGAAGCGGAACGATGCGCACGACATTGTCGCAAAATGTGAACCTCGCGGGATCACCATTGGATCGACGCGGGATCATTAAGGAGCGCTTCAAATGATGACGCCGGCGAAAATAAAACCAAAACGCGCACCAACACAAGCGGAATGCTTTTTCGGAGGTTTCTAGTTGTGAGGAATTTTTTATTGAAAAATTTATTTACTTAGTATGTGGTTTTGGTGGTGTTACTTCGACATACCCAGGATTTGGTTCAGTTTTGTCGAGATTCAGGACGGTACGACTCATTTTTCGAAGGTCACCTGCAAAAAACGTGAGTTTATTTATTTATTTATTACATTTCTGCTTTTATACTTACCTTGGATGCATGTAAGGCAAAAAAACATAAAACTTAGGAAAAAATACGCTAGGAGAAATGCCACCCAGTGTTTCAAAAGTGTATGGTTATACCAGGATTCATCCGGTTCGGAAAACCACATTTTATTTTATTTTACTCCCTGTAGAAAATAGTAAATAATGATTAACTCAAATTTGACACAATAATTTCTAATTGCACTGCCAAAAAATATTTTGTTTTGGAGATGAATACGTCAAAATTATTTCATTTTTATGTCAAATTAAACCGATTTACACGGAAAAAAATTTAAAAACATAGCATATATTATATCTCCACTAAAATTTAACAGAAATAATTTTAATTGGCGCCTGCACATACGGAAGTATCACCTTGGTAAGTTTATACTTCTATAATTTAATATTTCGCCACTTTAGTTTGAAGTTTAACGAGTTTAATCAAATTAATTAATATTATGCTTTAGAATTTATCGCGTTGTTCCTTGAATTCGGTTAGTGAATAGATATGACTTTATTAGAATGGTAGATCTTGAGATGGACCATTCTCTTGTTTATTAACGCTGCAAATATTAATAAATCTCGCGTAAACGACGAAAGCAGGTAATTTCGGGTTTAATGACCACGGCCGGAGCGTAATATAATACTAGAAATGAGACATTTACCGAATTTACTGGCTAAAGTTATTTTCTTTAGCCTTTAGCGATAAATTCAGTTTATGAAAAGCAATATTCTTAATTCAAAGATTCAAATCTTTAAAATGGTATTACTCTGGCCCTCTAGGAGAAAATAGTGAACTAAATTAAACTCCTTGTGCAGAGTTCTATTTTGTGTATTACAGCGAGCTATTCAGTTGAAATTTTCTGTAATACGCATACGCCGCGCCATCTGACGGCGGGCAGAAGAAGTAGAAAACATTTTCTACTGGAATGTTTAAACTGTCAATTAGAGTGGGTATCGCAAAATCCAACCGTTGTTTATTTCTCCTTCACGTGGGCAAACTTTATCTTTAATTCTATGGTAATCAGTTGTGTATTGTGTTGTGGTATTTTATTTCGTGTTGAGACTTGTACCGCACACTTCTTATTCTAAAAACGTTCAGTTGTATTGCTTTGGCGTAGTGACGAGAATAAAATCAGTGAAATTAAATTGAAATTGAAGATCACCATGCATAAAACCAAGCGGCATAAAGGTAAACCACATAAAACTTATTAAAATGTGCAGTTGAGTAAAGTGTGTGGCGTTAAATTGCACTAATCATTAACACTTTGCATTTTGTCATTGCACACGTACTCGCACGGTCAGCGAAATTTATCTGCTATTACCGGTGACCGCGTATTTGCGTTTTTTAACACGCGTGTACAACTCTCAGCTGCCTATCCGATGCTATTTTTACGCTGTGTCTACACGGCCGCGATATTATCTTAAACCGTTGTAATTATTTTTATTTCTTATTTTTTAGTAAGAAAAAACATGAAAATACATTTTTTCAATAACAAAGTAAAGAATATGAATCAATCGAAGGAGTGTAACGTTTGCTATGAAAAACTCGATCATTTCGATTCGGATGATCAGGAAGAAATGGCAGATCCTGATGTGCAAGCAAACACGGACGAAGCCGACAGTATCAACACATTGTGGAACATTCACGATGAACTCAATAAGTTGAGAGGTACTTTTATCAATTTTGTTTAATTCTCTCCCGAATCGTACGAAATTTAAATCATTATCTTATCACAATATTTACCGGTATGGCGGTCGAGTTGTGTTGACTCATAGACTATATTTTACACTTGTTCATTTGATGTTTGTGCGCTTGCTAAATAACAATATTTACAACTGCGGTAGACGTTGACACTTAAAATGAGCTCAGAGGCAATTCGTCGACGACATGATTCAAAGGATGAACAACTTCCCGCAGAGACCGCTGAAGGTAACATTTATTACACGCTATTAAAACTGCAATCGTATTTAAGGCCACATGTCATCGCACAATCTGCACTTATCAGAATCAGACATCGTGCAGAAGATCAATTTCGAGGAGACCAGCGGCGGGCATGCCCTGCCACGCTCCTATATCGTCGTTCGCATCGCGGCGGATATTCCTGAACGCACCCTCGTTTGGCTCGTGGATCGCATCAAGGGTAAACGACGCGATGGCGGCGCTGAATTGATCGTGATGCGGCAGCCATATAATATCAAAGATGTAAATATTAGACCAGATCTAATTTAGTATCATGTGTAATTAACTGTAAGGAGATAAAAAATATTATACAGGGGATTGTTTTGCACATATCAGCATCACAGATTAAATTCCTCGAAGCGGCCGAGGAGATGGAGATTGTCAAGATGGATAAACACGGTGTGATGCGCGAGTTTGTCGTCAATGATTTAGAAGAGTTTCTTGCTGAAGGCATGCACACTGAGGATCTGCTGACGGTCACCGAACGCCAGAAGATTGTGCGCCACGAGCTGGAAAATATACGAGCGCTCGCCGAGGACAATTTCATTCCTGGATATCCAAACATCGATCTCTACGAGGGGCAGTCTGTATTGCAGGTGTGTCTTGGTAAGGGCATCGTCAGCAAAGTATATCCGCTGCATGATCGTGAACTGCTGAAGAAACTAGGACATAGTTGGTATTTAACGTTTTTTAGGACACAACCATTTGGTAAGTACAATTATTTTATTTTTAACTGTGTGAACTATGAAACTGTGGTTGCCTAACTTAATAGGACGATTTTATTCTCTCCACCGCTTATTATACCCTTTAGGCATTTCATACTTGAAGATACATTTGAAAACAGGGTGTTTTATTTATTCTAGTCGAGTATTCATGCGGTTGAACAGTTGAACTGTATCTTTATGACGAGTTAATTTATTCAAACGCGCGTGCAACTCGACCGCACAAAGTATAAAGTAGGAAACACAAACGCACGCTTGAGAAAACTGAAAGTACAAAGTAGATGATGAGCAGAAGGCGCAAAGTTGGAGATCTTCCGGTTAGCGCACTCCTTTGTGCGGTGTACTTGATCTAGAAATGCATTGTATGCGTATTGTGTAACATTTCTATGCCGGAAATGCACACACCTGCGAATGCAGTACCACAAAAGCAAGATGTGCAAATGAATACCGCTTAAGATGCGGAAAAATTGTTTATTTCAATATTTTTGATTAATATCACTGTTTACTCAGGGAATTTTTAATCAAATCTCCCAGAAATGCATTTGTATTGTCAGTATAGAAAATTGAACACAATTTGTAATGGAGATTGCGTTGTGGGATGAAAATGTCTGCCGCTTATGTATTAAAAATGCACATTTTTGCATGTCGGATTAGCGCCGCATGCAAAGCCTCCTCTGCCGGGAGGGTAACATTGTGGAAGATTTCAAGTATTAGCATCGAGGGCCATCGCTCCCTCAGCATCTACATCAGCATCAGCACATCTTGCCGCCGTCTGGGCATATTCAGCATATTATATGAATGTGTATCTTAGCATCCCAGGCCTAACGTTCTAACGTTTTTCCTTCATCCTCTGCCCTAATACCTTACTTTAATACATGCTCTTGAAGTTCAGAGATCATAAAATGTTGATGCGACGCTAATCCTGGTATTATCCGCGCACGAGTTTTAAGTTTTGCGACAATCCTTCAAATTAAATTCCCAACGTGCACGCCCAATTAATATTAATTACACTTGAAGTGATAAAATTTACGCATTACTAACTTTCCGATAGTTGAATTATATCGCTTATAAATTAATCTGCGATCCGCTGAAGAGTCCTTAATTTTCCAAGGTTGTTCCAGCTACACCTACTGGAGCATTAGCGTCATTATCAATCGCGGGGGATGTTTCTGACGTCTTTGCACTTTGCTGTGTGTTAGGGTGTCGGAAGTGTGGTAGGAAATGGGTTCGAAAGATACCAAGCAACCCGTTGCTGACGCTAAGCGCCACTTCTCATCACCACCGCGTGCTCACCGCACAATCTATTCAATCCGCGACGTTTGTCGTTCTTGCTCACAACCCTCGCATGCGTAAAATGTTCCAGTTGAGGTCTTGAGGGTCGTTACTTTATTTTCTTCCCCGCATCATTTGCTAAATTGTGCTTGTCCTTGACTTGTACTGCACTCGATAACACTAATGAAAATGTATTCCCCGAGATACTTTGTACCTTTCAATATGCAACTGGATGAATGAAGGGTGCGTGTGAATGAGATAGGTCGCCTTTTGACTAACGGATGAATAGGGAAAGCGAGGGAGAAATATCTATGTTGAGGGTTGTAATTAACACGGGCAGTTAAAATAATTACACATGTTGTCGATGTTTTTATGATTTTATTGTGTTGCAGCCGAAATCCGTGAATATTTTGGTGAAGCCATATGCCTCTACTTTACATTCTTGGGCTTTTATACCACCGCGCTGCTGATACCATTGTTCCTCGGTTGTGTGCAACTGCTCATTGGAGCCGAGGCCGTGCCGTTCTTCTGTGTGTTCAACGTGGTGTGGGTCACCGTTTTCCTCGAGGTCAGTATATATGCACACACGGGTCATAATAATATAAACAATGTGCCCAACCCTTTGCTGCTGCTGCCTGTTGTGTCCTGTTGTGTATGCCAACATTCCAACCTTGCACGTCCGCCTCATTACATCTCCACGTACGAGCACTTCTGCCCACGGAATATAGAGCAAGATGCAAACAGCAAGAATCTTCCCCGCATAAGCTCTTTAATAATTGATTCGTTAGCAAGCGACCCTCGGGAGCTTCCGAAATATGCGAATTATATATAAAATAATTCGTTCCTAAATGCCGGGGCGCTCGGAATTTCGCAATGAATGCGAACGCTGCGCAAAGATCCATTGTTATTAGGCCTATGGAAAATAATTGCGCGTTTATAAATCGTTCCGGATAACAATCCTCGCGAGAGGCGGAGAAGTGGTGACGCCGATTTAAATTTTTGACGCGCGGAAACGCCGACGATGCTTTTGTTTGCGAGTTTGAGGAAATCTCGCTGTGTTTATATTGTGTGTATAGCACCAGAATGGATCCAGTTGACATGTTGCTGATTTCTAAAGACGCCGCCGGCGGACGATTATAAAGAATGACACTTTTGTTTCTAAAGCAGGACCGGATTCCGGATTTCGGGTAGGGCACTAATGGCATTTGTATTATTTACACTCGGCATAGATAAAACTTATGCTGTCGTCCCTGAATGTGCCATTATTTGGAAATTTGTGGGCGTAGAAGAGATTGGAAGTCGCAGATGGGGATCAAGTCGGAATATAGAAGATGTGCGCGGGCACACAAAGCTGCTCGAGGAAATAATAATAGAGCAGGACGTGAATTTCCGAAAAGGACGATTTAGCCGTCACGTTCCTTCCTCGCTATCTGCCTGCCGCCCCCGAAAGTCCGCGCGCGCTTTATGTTGAAGCGTTTTTCGTATAAGCGACGATCCATTATACCGCGGCGCGCGGCAAAGTTTACAAATGTGACACTTTAAAAACGAGTTCCATTTGTTTTCCGGCTTTCGTCGGCTGCAATTGTCGCGCTCGCGCACGAGCTGGGTGGTTTATTATACGAGCGCATGTCATCCGCGTGCGTCCTTTCAATGAGGGCGTCGTTGCAATTTTTATATTCTCAATGTGTCACCACCACCGACTGTCTTCGCAAAAAAACGTAACTTTTAACAAGTTTAAGTCGGCTGGCGTTGGTTTTGTGGAACATGGGGTGGATGAAGAGCACATTCTTCGAAATTGACGACTAGTTCACATGCTTCACTCGGTTTTATAGACGCAACATTTACAAATTTACGTCTTGCATATTATTCACACCACGATGTCGTCGTCGCTGCCGCCGTCTGAGGATAATAACCATTTGTTTTGTTTAGGTCTGGAAGCGCAAGTCGAACGAATTGGCCTTCCAATGGGGCACAATCGGAATGACGAGTATGGATGAACCACGGCCTAACTTCCAAGGCCACATGGCTATTGATGAAGTCACGGGCAAGATGTCACCGCAATATCCACGAATCAAAACCAATTTTAAGGTTTTTGGCTCTGGATTTCATCTGGTGGTTAAAATAATTGTGTTTTTGTTTATGTAGATGTATTGTGGATCTTTACCGATTGTGGGTTTGTGTCTCCTTGGAGCTTTCTTCATTATGCTGTCCTCATTTTGGGCGGAAGCGTATCTCAAACAATCTGAATGGGAATGGGCCCCAATTTTGGTCCCGCTGCCTAGTATTGTCTACACGTGCTTGGTATTCCTCATGGATTCATATTATCGACGTCTAGCTACATATTTAACCGAATGGGGTATTACCACATTACCATTTTACCAAAATTAATTTTAATTTAATGTTTTTATTAGAAAATCATCGAACACAATCACAATACGATCGCCATCGAGTGACAAAATTAATTCTTTTTGAGTTTGTGAATAATTTCATGTCGTTGTTCTACATTGCGTTCATCTTACAAGACATGGACATGTTGCGCAGTCAGGTAGCAACGATGCTGATCATCACGCAAGCGATCAACAACGTGCAGGAAGCGATAATTCCTTTAGTGATTAAATTTTATCACGTCAAGGTACGCAGGGCACGTCTGCCTAATTCTCTTTCTGTTAATGTTCCGACCATTTTACTCTGGTATATTCTAAGGTGCTGGAGATTCAGAACATCATTTCGGGCGTACCGAAGCGCGCGGAGCTGCAGAAGACTGGGCGACCCACCCTTCAGCGTGAGTATAGTGAATATGCACCGCTCGCGGCGGTGCCGGAAATTCCCGAAGACGATCAGCGGATTAAGGATGCAGACGAGGTAATTTTATAGAACCAGACTCCTTACGATTACGATTACTGCCAAAATAGCAAACAGCAAGGAGTATGGGAGTATTTGCATCACTTGGTAGCATTCTATTCGTATCGTATTCGTATTTAGAATTCGATTTGGGATTACCATTATACGCTATATGTCCTCGACCTCCCCGACATAAATCCGTAATGAGAGTTTCGAGGTGCATTTAGTTCCAAAACATGCAGACCACACTCGTATGTGCGGCAGTGCGGCGGTGGTGTTTGTGTTTGCGTTTCGGGGCTAGTTTTCGACTTGTGGGGAGGACTGGGACGGTCGCGTGCATCCCTCGCTGGCGACCCGTAACACCGTATAGGTTTACGCGTACATTTTGGTTGTTATTGAGTTGGGAGCACCATTAATTGACGCTTGTACCTCTTTCGGTCGGGTGCCTTTGACGACTCGGGTGCACACTCGAGCTTTCCACTTGCCACCCTCGGCAAAGGTTTATTGCTGCAATTCTAGCGGAAACTAAGTTGGGACATTTCCATCAAATTGAATCTCTTAAAATTGTGTGTGCTTTTTTTGTTTTATTGATAATAGGAAGGTGATTTGGATGATTACGAAGGAACTTACGATGATTACCTGGAGATGTTTATACAATTTGGCTATGTGGTGTTGTTTTCGTCCGTGTATCCAATCGCTGCCTTTTGGGCTGTGTTCAACAACGTGCTGGAGATTCGAGCGGACGCGTTCAAGCTGTGCGTCGTCTATCAGAGGCCAATGGGGAAAAGGGTCAAGGATATAGGCGCCTGGCAGGTACTGATATAATACAATCGTCAGCACGAGCAAAAAAAAGTTTTATTTATTTTATTTGTTTGGGCTGTGCGCCGATTGCAGAAAGCGTTTGAGGCTCTCGGCGCCTTATCGATCATGACCAACTGTGGCTTGCTCTGCCTCTCTCCACAAGTACGCGCCTACCGACCCGAATATTCCGAAGTCGGATGGGTGCTGCTCTTCGTGATTCTGGAGCACTTCTTGCTCGGATTGCGGTACTTGCTGCATATTGCCATCACGGACAAACCGCAATGGGTACGCGTGGCCCTCGCGAAGAAGAACCACGAGTCTCGTCAAGCGTTAAAATTCGAGGTAACGACTTGATTTGAAATTCCGAATAGGAATAAGAATGTGAATGCAACTGGTGTCTTCGCGGTCATAAATACTAGTCACTGGTGTCACACACACGTTCCGAGCGAGCTGAAAGCGAAAAATACATTGCATTCTCAGCCAGCTGTCGGAGACAGGAGTGATGCGAGGCGGCCGCGACTCCATTTCGCTCCATAGATCAATCCGATATGGCATCGAATTGAGTGTGTGCCGAGCATGTGTGAAATCGATAGATATACGACACAGGCTCAACGCCTCCCGGGGCGGTATTGTCATATATTCATAGATTGTCTATTTCAAGATGGTGGCAAAGTCTTCCGAATTTATTTTTGGGGAATATCTTTTTGTGCCACTCGTATATTAGGTAAACAGAGGAAGATGTATGGAAAAACGTGCTTGTGGGCTGAAACGACGCGTTAAATTTTAATGAAATCTATACAGTTTGTGTGTGCACTCTGCACGCGCATTTTTTCTTCTCTCCCTTCGATGCATCGCCAAACAAACGATGCGCGTCGCTTGGAAACGAAGTTTTCATGGAGTGAGGGTGTTGTCAATTTGTTTGAATCATGTGTTACTTTTGCTCTCGTGTAACGAGTTTGCACTCCTTGTTTATCTTTTGTTAATCTTGTGTTATTTCACGTTTTGTGAATTTCACGAATTGAAATTAACGAGACGCGATCGCAAAAGTATGGAATTGGAATTGAGCGGATTACGCCTTAACGATATTGTTTATTGCTTTTAATTGGAAATGATCAATTTTGTATTTGCAGGGAAAATTGTATAATTTACAGATTAACAAACAACAGGGCCGGATTAATTCTACACAAGTTTCCGAAGAAGAAAAAAAATTAAAATTGACCGCTAACACGCTAATGATTAATTAGTACAAGCAAAGGGTTGTAACCCAAATCTAGTATTTAGTTACTCTACACTCAATTAGTTAATTGCGCTGCCACTTTGACTCCGCCCACGGACACATTGGGCGGTATTTTTGGTCAACTAATTTGGCATCCCAAAATGCTATCGTATGCCCCGGCCGACTAAAGGAAGCAATTTTAATTTTAATTAATTAACTAATTAAATTGTATGTGCGCGCGTAGGCAAAGTTGTGATGAGTTTGGGGCGGAATCAAATCTCGCGGAGGTCAAAGCACAAACAAACCGAAAATTTTACTCTTGCTGACTTTTCCACGAGCGCGCGCGCGCGCAAATAGGATTAAAGCTTTAATTAAAATTTTGTTACACACGTGCAATTATATTCATATTCTTTCTTTTCCAGAGGGCTGTGAAGAATCGCCGGATTCTAACGCGCAAGTTCAAAACTGTGCATGGTCCACACAAAAACTAAATCAATTCCCGTATTTCTAATGAGATGATATGATGATGTAGTATTATAAACTTTGTAAATTGATTTTATCCCGAAATTATAATGTATTATAATTGCTATTATACTGAGTGTTGTAGGTTTTAGGTGTGAATGGATACGGGGTTGTTGGTGGTTGTAGAATGGCCGCACTCGGTACGGAATATCTGAATATGTAGAAGAGTGTAAACCGGTAATCGCTCGTTTAGTACTACATCAATCTATCTGTCTGCATAGACACTCGCCACGCTTGCCTCCCTGAAACTTCCATTCTCATATCCCGTTCGCCCATCGATGGCGGCGTTCCGGGTGCGCGCACAGCACCACCCAGCTTGAAATCCAATTTGTGCGTGTGCCACGTTTGGAAGCGCGAAACCGTTGCGAAATGGGTATCCTGCAATTCGGGAAATTATTTCCCACTTTAAACATCATCCACTCCCCCGTTCGGGACCAGCAGGAATCACTTGGTACGAGTACACATCAAATGGATAGAGTAATAACATTGGTTCTTTTTAGATCTCGGTGATTTTTTCCGCATTGGAATTGAAGGAAATGGCAACTAAGTAAGTTCTCACTAAGTTCATTTGCATTTGCCTACTCGTACTTTGGAAAGAGCTTTCAGGACTTGGAGTGGATGAAAGTTCACAATTTGAACACCCGGAAAAACCTAATCGGCATTGTGTTTGCTCCCGACGGGATATTAATCATAACCAGTGTGCTCTGTAACTTTATATTTACGAGCAGTAATTATTTTAATTAAAACTCGATCTGCGGTTGACTGGCCCCGGCCAAAATGAAACGATTAGGGAACTTTTAATTGCGTTACAGCATCTCATCTTTCCTGTTTCGTTTGCGCGTTGTAAAAGATGTCAGTGCTCATCTTCTTCCTTTTATGTTGCCTCGGCAGTCATAACATGTCTTATCGCGTTGCATTGCGTATCTAAATGACTAATTGATTGCATCTTGGAGATAAAACAATAAAATTCGACAGTGATGTAATAAAACTTCGAAAAAAGCGAGCAACTGGGGTGGAAAGATAAAAGATGGGCGAGATGTGATGACTTATTCGATAAAAATGATTGATGATCGTTACCCTTTGATGCCGAAAGAAGATCCGCGCATAAAAATCGTAAGCTGTTTTGTTTTTATGTTGTGCGGATGTTTTTGGTCATTTGGGCATTTGTTGGCAGCTCATGTAGCAAATTGTACGCGCACGGCTCACGCTTGTTAAAAAGTTACAAGCGCCGCGCGTAATTGAGCAACTTTTAACCGTTGCAGCATGTTGGCGTGTTAATGTCTTCAAGTTTTTTTTTTACTGCGTTATATTTGCTAAATGTGTCAGGAATTTATCGGCCATTTTCTGCGCATAAATTTAAAAGATGAGGTTATGAGTTGTATGCTATTCTTTCAAAGTTAGAAAAAGTATCAAACTGTAGATAATTTAATTCTCAAAAAATATGATGATAAACTAACATTAATCCTAAACTTTTCGCTCTTTTACATTCAAAAATTAAGATTGTTTCATGAAGTTTTGTTGTTTGATATTTTTATTATGAAAATTAAAAACAACGTTCCGGTAAATGTTGAAATGTTTCCGCGTAAGTTTGCGACGCGCCTTGTTTACATCTTATTTGCTCTGGCAAAGTTTTTTTTTGTTGTGCATAAAGTTGCGCCTTTTTTCGGTAAGCGCGCGGGCGGAATGCGCGCATCGAAGCATGAGCCGGCGGTGGGCGGCGGCTAAAGAAAAACCCCCTTGCTGTTTCTGCTTGTTTAAGCTTTGTTTGAGCGGCAAAAATCTTAACAAGTCGGCGGCGCCGCGCTTTGCTTTTCTTCGGTTTCGGCCGCATTCAATGTTTTGACAGAAAAAAAAAGCGGCACAGCTTCAAAAGTCACGCTTATTTTTTCAACCATCCTTCATCTTACTGCCACCGCATTGTTTCGTTATTCCTTCCTCAGCATCGATTACGCACGCTTGAAATTCACGCCGAAAAAAAGAAAACTTGGTCAAGAAATATTTTCCACGCCAACGATTCTTTTCTCTCCACAGCCAGTTTTAATGATATTTCTCAAAATATTCACGTTCACGATCGAGCAAACATCTCAAAACTCAGCGTATGCGGTGATGAAAAATGAGACGAGGGTCGATATGCTGATCCGTGACCAAATTGTATGGACACGTAAACCAATTGGGTCCGATGCGGGCGATAAAAAGCAGCGTAACACGAAAATTGCAAACAAAATGCCGCGTTGTTACGGAAAATTTGATTTCCATTACGTCGAGAGAGCTCCAGATTTGAAAAGGCTGTGGAGTAAGTTATAAGTAGTAAAAGATGTTCGCCGAAGGGGAGAGTAATGGGAACGTGGGGAAGGTGCGAAGAAAAAGCGGCAAAAAAAACCGCAAAAAGTGAAAGTGTAAAAGTGCTTTTTAATGTATTTACATTTTCACATTCCGGAAATATCCACGTTTATAACCCGGAGTGCACTCAACACTTTTGCGTCCACCACAGAAAAATATATTGAATTTTAGTGGTTCATAACGGAAATAATACGAAGACGTTTGCATTGTCATTTCGTAATAAAACGACGCCGTGAAAATCCGAAGGGACCCTTTTTTATTAAGAAATTCCAGAGATAAGCACACATCAAGGTAGAAGGATATTAACGCACCAAACTGACAATATCCTGCGCCCTGGAAGAAGTGACCCGCCGCGCGCATAAATCAGTAAATAAAAATTTTGAATACAATCGAAGTTATTGGAATGTGGTATGTCTTAGGATCGATGGATGCGCACGCGTTTTGCGAGTTTCCTGCTTGCACGCCGGCCTGCAGCCGCACGCCACACCAGATCGCATCCACTCTCGGTGCTGTGTGCTCTTCTCCCTCTCCGCGCCGTGCGCGTTCTTCCTGCTGGCAAACGCGCCGAGAGTCAGTCGAGGTCCGCACGCGATCCACGCCGCGCGACATGTTGTCTTCGCCATGGCGCGGTGCCGCCGTCCTGCTGGCCGCCGTGGTCACGCTCGCGTTCGCCGACAGTGCCCCGCCGCCGGTGGTCGTGGTTCGCCTGCCCAACACCGCCAAAGTCGATGGACAATTGACGGCGAATCTTGGCGTCGATCACTTCTTCTCGCTATGGATCGTATTCAATAACGACGATGTTGTCATCTCCGGTAAGTCGGAAACTAAATTACTTCCGGTTTATGCACGCGCAGAAAAAAAATAACACACCACCGTTAAGTACCTACGTGCGCCGGGCCGCAAAAAAACGGAAGGTGTATCTTTATGACTCCATTTCCGTTTCAATTTCCTCAACGCATAAATTTCGCACGAAGTTTTTTAATGTCCGTTTAAAAGGTCACACGCGTTTTACGCACCCTATGAGATAATATTTCATCGCCTTGATAATGGTAATAATTTTTACTGAATTACATCGTCGAGTATTGTCTTATTATTTATTATTTTCGATATTTTTCGCGCAAATTATAAGCCTCGAGAGGAAACTGTCAGGAGATCATTTATCAAAGTTTTTCGGAGGCGAGCAAAAAAAAACCGTATGCACGAAAATCTACTAAGCAAAGCTTCAATCTTGGGAGGCAACGAGCGCGGCCAGTGTAGTAACTAAGTTGCATTCATTTTCCTCGTCGTTTTTTGCGCTCGCGATGTTGATACGTAAACGAATGCACGCTGGGAAAGGTAGCGCAGGAAAAACGTGGAATTTCATGAATAATTTAACTTTGAGTGCGCTGAGTTTTTTCAGCAAAAATCTATAAAAATAATTTCGTGTTATTTTTCAAACAACAATAAAAGTCCAATCAACATGTGAGCATCCCACTCAAACACTCAAAGTGATTAAGTTGCTTCGGGTTAAGGACTGTCAGATAATCCTCTTTAGTGCGGCCCTTTAATTTTTCTCCCGCTCGTTACTTTCTTACTTTTTCCATCTGCGCACTTTTTTTAACGCTGTACACGCCAAGAAATAAAGCGCGCGTCTCGCATTTCACCCCTCATCTACAGTTCGGCTGCATTAGTAGTATAGTAGTGTAGTGGAAAAACCAGCCGGAAAAGTCGAAAGTAAATTAATTAACTGCCAAGCATCGCTATCCCTTGGAGCGAAAAAATAAAATAAAACACCTGACGTCATCAACCGTTGTAAAATTTTACGTCGCGAGAATATTTTGCAAATGTTTACATCTTTATCGCGTAGAGTCGTCGGATAATATCCTAAGTGCACACACTATCAACATGTCTCTTTCACCTTCAGCGCTCGCACGTCGACAGCGTTGCATGCATAATAGATAAACGCATTTTCAATACATATTCCCATTTCCGTCTCCCGCGGGACGTAAATATTCAAAAATTTATGAAATTAGTAAATTATTTACGAGTGTCGTTACTTTTACGTCGTCGACTTCCTAGATATACCTACGAGTAGATAGAGTTACGCCTACGTTCGTCATGTTTTATTTAGCTGGCGTTCAAGTTCTATGTCACCGTCCGCGCGCGTTTCAAATATTAAATTAACTCGTTGTTCGGCCGCTGTTTACTCGTTATGTAATTTAGGAAGCGCGCTGCGCGATTGCATGCGTCACCAAAAAATCAAGATTCAAATGTTTACTTTTATATTATTACTGATAATTCGTACGTTTGAATGACCCAGTATATTGATTAATTTATAGTCTACGTTGATATCTTCCTTGGGGAATTAAATCTTTATAGAAAAAAATCTTCTCTATAATCGATTGTTTTTCAATTAAAAAAGTTTGCGAAACCTCGAAAATCTCTCGGAAACAATCCATAACAAAACGATCAACGAGTTAAAAAGTTTAAAACTTTCGTAAAGTGAAAAACGTGTAAAAAGTCTTCGGAGAATTCCATTCTGTTGCCTGTTTTGCCGGTAAAAACAAAGCTTTCTTCATATGTTGTTATACACAATGTGTTCTTTTGAGGAACACATTTATTTATCGATACCTACAGCGGGAAATTTAATAAAAATGTTTTCGCGCACGTCTTTCGCCCTATTCGCTTGCTGTTTTACCTTGGTTGGCTTGCCGCTTCCAAAACTGGTATCTGTTGCGTTTCTGCGTTGGTATCAGCTCGCTTTTCCAATATGCACGCTGCGTGCCTGCGTTGGAGAAGCCTGTCTTGCCATCTCTCAGGCATTGTGTTTGCGGTATCACATGTTAAGCCTTTATATTGCTTTTTCCCCTTTTCTTTTTCGTCTACTGACATCGGGGCCGGGGCCTACTCCTTCCGCAACCCTTGTGTGCGTCAGTTTTCGTTTCATTAAATTACATTATTTTAACGTTACCTAATATGTTATCAAAACTTTTGCGCTCCCCGACGTGTTATTCTTGCCGCGGGACTTGGAATGACTACACGTTTCCTCCTCCGGGGGCGCGAAGCAACCGGTTGAAAAGGGTTGGCGAAAAGATTGATAGAGCGTGTAATAATCCGCGTCGCAAAGAAAACTGGGGTGCAACGCCAATGACTGGCAGAAAGCTGCTTATTTAATCATTTTATATCGTCTTTAATTTGAAAGACATTTAGACATCTTCAGAATTTTCCGCCGAACGTCTTCATTCAATAATCATTTCATGCGTCGACTTATTTATTATTTAGATCATCTTGACGTGTGGCAATAAAGATGAAAAACGATAAAATAAAATATAAAAATGATCAAGATGTTCGCCCGCATCGGTTTTGGGCGGAAGGACGGCCACGAAGTGGAACAGGAAAGTAGGAGAAATCTAGAAGAAGGATGACTATGATGCTCGCTAGCCGAAAGCAATAAAAAACACAGCACGCAGCGGCAAAACACGCCAAAACAGCGCAAAAAGAAGAAAAACAATTTTACTATTGGGAATTTATCATATTACGAGAGTTTAACTTCTTTTCCGACATTACAGCTACCGAATGCGCACGTAACTTGTACTTGCGTATAGTTTTCCGGCATCACCCTGTATAGAATTGCCCTCTCGGCGGGTGCATTCGTTCCAAAACGCAAAAACTTAACGCAAATAAAAGTTTTTACGCATTTTCTTCGACGGGTGCCGTTTTCCGGTCGGCGAATTGTCCGCAACTGGTGCCCCGGCATTTCGACCATCCTTTTATCGCCGTCTCAGCGGGGCCGCGTTTTTGTGACATTAAAACTTTACAAGTGACCACAAACTTGCACAAAGGGCGGTCTACTAAGAAAAGGTTGCAGGGCATTTGTATAAAATAAAGAATAGTGAAGGGTGATTTAGTTTTTTTGCAGTTTTATGAGGATAATTTTATTGGCCCTACTGAAACTTTAATTAAAGTATCATAAAAATTTATATTAAATTATAAGATTTTGGTTAAAGTGTAAATAAACTTCTTTCGTTTATTTCGGTAATAAAAACTGCGAAAATATATAAAATCGTAAATTTCGCACCCGAATGTAGCAACCGTGTGGCGCGCCTCGTAAAAATCGCAGATTTCATTTTATTGGATCGAAGCAATTCCACGTTTCGGATTTTCGACCTTTCAAAGACGCCATTGCATATTATGCACGCCGATTTCGTAATATTATAACCTTTAACACCCGGCGGTTAACAGCTTGTCGAATATTGCAAATATTATTTCTTTTGTTATCTAAATATGGTGACAAGGACACTAGCAGACACAGAAGAGAACAGCGCAGTGAGATTAAGGACGCCACTATAACAATTAAGAATATAAACATTATGCGCACAATGGAAATCTATTTGGTTTGTAAAAAGTTTTGCTAATTTGCGCTTCGTGCGCCATTGTTTGCACGCGCATCGAAAGGCATGCAAGTTATCGTGTGGACTTCACTTCAATTAGTCATTAGACGCTTGTTTTACGAGTGACACACTTCGATTGTCACCGCCAGATTTAGAAATTAAGAAAAGTGAACAACTTGTAGGTCATTCTTTCAATATTTTTGTTCTTTTATGATTAACAGTGCATGAAAAATACTTACTTTTTCATGGAGACACACTTTCTAGTAAGTGATATTATAAATGTTTGTTTGTGACGCTACTACGGGAAAACCACTTATTGGATTTTAATAAATTTTAGTTTGAAGATAGTTTAGACCTAGGAGAATAACATAGGCTACTTTTTGTTGGTAAAAAATAACTGGAAGGGTGTGTAAAATAGTGTTGAAGTGTTTGCACCGGGCGGAAGTACATATAATATAGTATATATTAACATCCAAGAATATTTTTTTATTTTGAGCGCTTATTGCGATATATTTGAATGTTTTTCAAATTTTGCACTAATTTTATAATTCAGGTGATTAAAAAATGCTAAAAACTAGTTTTCTCTGCAACAAAAAGCAAAAAACAGCTTTAAACTTGATACTTGCATTGAATTACTCTCGTAAGTGTATTACAAGCATTATTATTAAAGCCATTATGATTATTATTAGCATATGCGCTCGTCGGAGTTCTTCGTGCGGCTGGTTCGTGAGGAATAAAAGTGTGGAGCGTCGACGAGAGTCGTTGCCGTCGTTGGCGAGCAGTTAGTCGTCTATTACGCTTCGTATTACGCTACATTACGATGCCGACAAGAGACGCATGCACACGGCGGCGGCGCGCACACAATTTAAGAATAAATGATTATAAATTGCATAATTATTTCGAATTACTTGGGCGGCTGCGTGCGCTCGCGCAGCACCACTCGATCTTTAACATACTACGTCTTTGTTATTGTAATTTTTGCTCCAAACTCAATTGCGTGAATAATACGACATTATTGCGCCCGAGTATTCTAATAGTCAAAAATCACCGCATGCGCCGCGCGCGCGTTTATTATTATAAACTGTAGGGGGAAATGAATATTAACTACCCATTGTTTCAATATTATGATTCAGGAGCGGCGCATATTTTAAAGAACAACAAAGCGCGGCGGGCGGTGGCGAGGTAATTCTTGATTTCGATATACCGGGATGTGGATTCATTCGCGCGCTATCTTGGTATTGGGGTTGGGATTCCAATAACATTTCGGAAACTCGGAAATTTAATCCGGACGAGGAAATGTCCGAGAATAGCGCGCGTAGTTTCGAATAGTATCATAATTCACAACATATAATAATATGGGTTTATATGCGCTATTCGGCGCGAGGGTGGAAATATCCAAATATCCCGTCGACAAGAAGTTACTTCGGGGTATCGAGTGTTGT